TGCTGAACTTCAGTTTTGGGAGGAAGATTAGCAAACACTGAAGAAAATAAAAAGTGGTGTCTAATTTAAGACAAGCAGAAAGACAAGTGTTAGAAACAGCCCCTACTTGATTCTGCACCTAGCAGATTAACACTTAGGGCTATACTCTGATGATCAGTTTGCATCCAGCCTAAGACACACTAGTGAATGCAAGAAGTCCTCTTACCCACGCAGACCAGGCCATTAGATTACTCCTCCTTCTCCTACCACCCCAAACAAGCCATATCAAAGGAGCTCATGACAATTACCCTGTCAATAGGACCACTGAAACCTGTACTGAGATCAACCTGACAGCACAGTCAAACCACAATCCAGTTTTTCACTCCTTTCCCTCCCAGTTTTCTGCTTCATTTTCACCCTGAAATGCCTAAGCTTTCAGAGGGAGTGGGGGAAAAATACCAAACACAACAAAAAACCCCAAAAGCAAAAAAACAAGCCCCCCCAAACAAACCAACTCCTTCTCAAGTAGCACTCAAACCTTCCTGACAGGTGATTTCTAGGGAAAATGACAAAAGGTCCTGTGTTACTTTAGATCACTTACCAGCAATGCAGCTACAGTAGATAACAGTTATATGAATATGCAAACTGACTTGAAGGAGGACTGTGCTGTCCAAACACAGTTTTAAATTATGCAAGCTTCTGAATGGTGTCAAATTTTGCATTGCACTGCAATTTTGCAAACCTTCAGAAAGCAGGCTTTCAAAAGCAGTAAAAACTGAAATATGCCTCAAGTCACTGTTATTGAATTAAACCTGCCAGGCACGCTTTATCAGTTCTGTTACTGGTAGCAGACAGTATTACTCATGGGCAACACAAAACCACCAAGCAAAAGAACTTAGGCTTAGTCCACATGCTTGACCAAGAAGCTCTCATTTTAACAAGAATTTGACAGCAGTAGCTACACAAACACGGGTGAAAAACATTTACTTCACCACATCAGTGATGCAAATTAAATTTCACATAACTTTTTTTACCTAAAGAGTTCTCAGAAAAAGTACAATCTCTTCTAAGTCTTAAATACAGACAATTCTTTTGGAAAGCTAAATGTTAAAGCTTTAATATCACACAAGAAACTATTAAAAGACACAGTTTTCTCTATGAATGCTTTGAACATCAGTGGCTGTTTCAAGCAAGCATTCAGAACACAATAAAGGCTCCTTTGTCTTTCCTTGTTGGCTGGTGACCTGTATGCTCTTTCTAGCTATACTTTTGTTACTATCATCTGACTTGATGGGAACCCACAATACTGCATTGATTATGCTTCAAGCAAGCCACAATACACTATTTTCTGCTATTTACAAAAAAAGGTAACAGCCATGTGCTGTGCAATACCATAGGCTGAAATCGAAATTGCAAATTAAAATTTGGAAATATTGTCAGAGGCAGAACTTATATTGTGATACAATTGTTTTTGAAATAGTTGTCTTTCCATGGTGCTAAAATAAGTCAGTAAGAGTATTGAATTTTACACATATAGAAGTTTGCTGTGATAACTATGAGTATTTTTACTGAACAGGCCATAATATTTTTTAGTTTCAAAGCTACTTTGAAGTTACTCTTCAGATAAAGATTCAGGAAATCTACGCCATACAACATGCTGCTGATCACTCAGCATTTACCTCTTTGGTATTGCGATTATGGCCCACTAATCACAGCTTTTAAATCCACTATCTGCATTTGACAGCACTTGAGCTACTAAAAGATTAATCTTAACAAAAACATGGTTAGAGGAAACGTAGAAAAATCAGATTGGCGACTTGACTGCCAATGCTTCAACATGAGCTTCAGTTCTATGTTCTCTCTGGCCTGACAGCTGCCCAGGCAGAACACCTGAACAAATCAGCACAGCATGTGATGACTCTCGCTCAGCCACTACTTGCAGGACATGGAAAAAAAGTCCAAAAAGGCAAAAAAGGGCATATAAATCGGCACTAAACCAAGTTTTAAGCAACCAGTTGCTCTACTAAACAACAGGTTTTCTTCTTACTATCTGAGAAAAAAAAAAATCAAAGTAAAACGAGAAGGAAAAATTCAGACCAATATATGATTTAAGAAATTTGAATTTGATATCCCAAAGAGCAGGCATTTTAAAACACCTCTCTAACTACACTATACATAAATCAGACTTGTAGAGATGATTCAGAAAATGCTACTGCCCAAGTTTCGTAACACATTTTAAGCTCAATTTTAACAAAATTACTCATCCCTCTGCTTTTACAGATAACACATGAAGAAGCATCCAAACTCACCACGAAATTACAAAACATTATGATTAAGGTACTGGGCCTAAAAATTCTATGGCTTTCTGAAATCCTACATTGCAACATCTTCTTGGGGATACTCTGGTTTAGCTGCTTCATATAAATATGTTTATTTTTGGAGATACTCTGGTTCAGCCATTTCATATTAATATTATTATTTTTGCAACAGCAGCACAGATAAACCTCTGCCCAAAAGCTCTGTTCATTCAACAAAAGCCTTGCTACACTCCTTTTGAAAATCACAGCTCTATTAAACAAAATGCTCTCCTTAGAGAAGAGTCTGGCAAGCTGGAGCCAAGAGTAAACATTCAAGTTACGTGGAAGCCCCTAGAAACAGTGGAACATATCCAACAATCCATAATCATTGTCCACTGTCCCTGAAAAGTATAATTAGTCCATGTCCCACTGGATCACCAATGCAGCAAGAAGAAAAAAGACAGCATTGAAGTCAGAATGATTAAGCGTATGCATCTGAAAGTCTAGTTTTGTTGAAGGGTTGACAGAATCAAGACTTTGAAGTTCTGCCTGCCTCTCCTACATTGTGGGAGCTGCAAAGTAACAAGACAATGCAGTTTTATCTTGTCAGGTAACAATAAGTACAAAACAAGATTCAGCACTTATCTTCATGAAATTTAAAAATTCATGAGAATGCTTTTACTACTGGTTTGGGAAAAACAGTACCTGTTCTCTGCCAACACACTCCAATCCTGTCAG